CAAGCAGGAAAAAAGGGAAGAAAGATACAAAACTGAAAAAGGTAAAAGTCGAATGTACGTTTACGTACGTAAACATTGTTACGGTTCTCGAATTTTTACATCACGAGTTATGTCCTCATTTCGTGAACAAATATGTTTGATATTTTCACAAAATTTCTAGCAGAAAATTGGAAATTATTTTCTTTCAAATTTAAAAAAAATTTGTTCGCAATAAAAGATAAATTAAATAAATAAAAATAAGGTGATTAAAAATAAGATGAAATTATTTGAAAAAAAATGCAGTAAGATTAATCTTAATAGTTATTGATCATTGATTGCTCTGAATTATTAAAATTATTAAGATTAAAAATTCTTTATTCAAACGTTCGTTTATTTTTAAATATTCGTTCGCAGAAGGTAACATATTAAATATTCAAAAGAACTTAAATTTTTACAGCACTTTTAATTTTTATATTTTTATCCTTATTTTTAAATATTAGTATATTTTTATCCTTTTTCGGCTTTCAGAATGTCATACTTATTAAAAACTTTGAAATCGTCAGATATTAGCAAAACGATTGTTTTCCATCAATGCTATATTAATTCGATATATACATGAAAATTTTTACCAACAATTGTAAAATTCTTATCATTTTAATCTTTTCTAAATTCTTCGACATTCTTGACCCAATTATGTAAATTCACTGTCACTATCGACTTAGGAGCTGGGTGTAACATTCTCGTTCGTTTTCTAGTAATACGTAGCATCGATTCAAGCACCTTTAAATAGATTCCTTACTTTTGTTTACAACGCACGTTTGGAACGGATAAGTACATGTACTTAACTCGCGATGTGTTCCAAATGATTTATTGTTGTTCTAAATTTCATTAATTTGCGAGAAACATGAAATAATGAATTTGTCGTAGAAATATCGTAAAGAATATAAAAATGTCTTGGAATGTTTTAAACGAGGTAACACAAGTTTAAGTTTCACACAAGATATATTTGCATAATTAGTTGTGTATGTGGTGAAAATATTCTGTAAATATTAGAGAGTCTTTAATTTTAAAAGTATCGCATATGAGGATCATGGTAAATTTTAATTTATATAGAAGTACCAGTGCATTTATATTTTTTGATTAACGATTAATATTAAAAGATAATAGAAAGACTTGAAATTCTTTCATATAATTTATATTTTTTAATTGTAATAATATATACGTGTACTATATTTTTAAAATAAAAAAAATCGTATATTTTTAACTCTACTACGTTCTTTCGACTCGTTTCTCTAAAATTAAAAACTATTTTAAATTTAAACTAAATTTCATTTAAAAAAAAATTCTCATTAACATTAGTATTTCGATTAAGTTTTGTGTCAAATACTTTCTTAATGTGTTTATATACACAGATGGTTCAAAGATATCAAAAGGTGCTGGATATGTAGTCATTAATGACTAACTAATCAAAAAAGTTAAATTGTAACAAAACATGCTCATCCAAGTCTGTGACCTGAACGCATTAAAATACTCTTCTAAAATCTTAACTACCAGTCAAAATAGGAACTTTGTTATCTTCAGTAATTGTTATCTTCAGTAATTAAATATAACTAGCTATTACATCAATCCAAGACCAGTAGACAAATAACCCCATTATTTAAAATTACCAAGTACTCTACACCAAATCAATCGAAAGGACTAATATAGCCACTGCATCCTCTCCTATATAATTGGTATAATTGGAAATGAAAAAACTGATAAAGTTACTAAAGAAGCAGCTAATTTATATACTTATAACCAAAAAAATAAAAAGCGAATTCTTTAAGAAGACAATTGCTTGTACCCTACCAAGATTATAACTAAAAAATAAAAAGCGAATTCTTTA